AGCCATTATTCAAGAAAAGTTCATGGGGCTTGGGGTATTATTTAAATTGGAGCCAAATGGAACAATTGGCCATGGAGGGGTTAAAGCCATATGAAACCCTTCTGAAAGTGTATGACTGGGAAGGTTTGTGGAAGGGGAATAAAAGTTTTTTAAATATACCCAGGAGGTCAGCAAGCAGCACGGAATGCTGGAGGTGGTAGAGGAGGTCAAGCAAGAGCAGCAGCCAATGCGAAGTTTGGCATGACTCTTGAAGAAGCGAAGCAAATCCTCAATGTTGACAAACTTGAGAAGGATGCCATAAAAGCAAGTTATGAACACCTATTCAAAGCTAATGACAAGTCCAAAGGTGGTTCATTCTACATTCAGTCGAAGGTGAGGACTAAGCAGTTTCAGACTGCACTGCTGGTTGCATTCATTAAACTATGTTTCACTGTATTTTTTTTGTTATGCTTGAAAAAATATTTCTCTAAAACCATTATTCCAGGGGAGGAGTACAACCACTTCCCTGGTGATTAAATTAAGTTCTTGAGGAAATAATTTGTCCACATCTCATTTACTCCTGCTGTACAGGGTATCATCACAATGATGGACTCTCTCATTTGTACAGAACATCCTAGGAAATATATCAAAGTGAAAATTGCAGTTAGCTTTTGTCATATGAATTCAAGCAATCATGATGGGTAGATGGGATCTGAGCAAGATTTTCCTAGAAGCTTGTGCAAAAGATTTGGGAAAGCTGATCATGATCTCAGAAGAATCACTACATTTAAAATTGCACATTCCAGGATAGCTAAGTGAAAAATGCATTGGTATAAGCTGCTCTGAAAGTTCTTGCTTATATCCTGTCAACCCATGAAAATAACTTATGCCTACTGCATTATTTTCTTGGGTATTTCCCAGGCTATTCTGTACATCGGGGACTTATTGAACACCTCACTTGGTGTAAAATTAAAAACCTAGCAATAACTTATACTTTAATCAGATCATTTTATAATGGTTTTAGATACAAGGTGACCCAAAAGAAATGTAACTAATACAAAGGAGGATATTTTTCCTTCCCAACTTCATTTTAAAAAAAAGCAAAAATCTTTATTCTTTTCTATTCTATCTTTATCCCTTTGGCTTCATTTCTATGCCCTTGTAGTCTTGTACTACAAGGGCATAGACAAATGACAACATGCTTTTGAAGCATATTGTCTATTTCAGGAATAATATCCTTGCTTATAATTGTTGCATTTCTTTCAGGTAACCCTGTAAAACCAGGATATAAAATCTCATTTTTGCTGTCCATTGGTCTTTGTTCCTATTTGTCTTCTGCATAGGTGGTGAGAGCTAAAGAAAGGCTTGATCAGGAAGTTTCTCAAGAGACTTCAAAAACAGCAAAGGAGTCAACATCATGACAAAAGTGATTGCTCTTTGATGAGCAGCAAACAGTACCTAGTGTTCAATTTTGTTTCTAGGCATTAAGTAGAAGTATGTGAGGAATAAAAATAACTTCTGTCTAAAGCTTTTATTTCCTTGAATACTTCTATGCACTAGGAGTGCAATATGAGAGTTATTCATAAACCCATGGTTCTGCTACAGGCTGCCAATCAACAAGTTCCTTCTCTGAAAACCATAAGGCAATCTCCTTCTTGCCACTCTCGACTGAATCTGAACCATGGACAATATTCCTGGAAAAACAATGGAAAGTCATCAAGCACAATCCATATAGAGTAACTTAACAACAGAGAAATACCTTACCTTCCCACTTGGATACAAAAATCGCCACGAATTGTTCCAGGCTTAGAGTCTGCAGGATTGGTTTCTCCCAGCATCATTCTGCCCATCTTCACAACATTTAATCCTTCCCAAACCTGAGATGATAAAAAACCCAAATATTAGGAATGAATTATTCCTGCAAAAACAAGCATATGAAGATGGAAAGACACTTCATGCATGCATAGATGATAAATCATGCTTCAAGCAATGTTTTGCAGTATACAGAAGTTAGTTTCTATTTCATCCTCAGGTAAAACCTAAATTTTATCACTTTCAAAATTTCATTATAATAATTCCTCAACACTGGAAGTGCATATAGGCAGTAGTCTAGTTCATGGGTTCATTACATGCCATTAAAAATGGGCAATATGAAATACTAAGTTAAAATGCAATGGCATTCACATCCATAAATGCTCAATGTAAGGCAAACATCAGCCAAATATGAACAATATTAAAGTGCAAATGTTGGAAAATCATGGCAGTTACAATGAAGTCATAATTACAGTCAAGCTTCAGGCACAATCAAGAATTGCTTCAGACAAAAAAAATATCCTCTATCTTCTCATGCTTCAAATTACTCAATTGGGTTGACTTTTAATCCTTATTGTGGAGATGACTCAATCATGATTTACATCCTCTGCAGCAATTGATTTGAGATTTCAGCAGAACTAGGCAGTCAACTGTCTGCTTCTAAATGCTAGGAATTACAATTTTAGCTCCTCAGCTAGCATCAAGTAAGTCGATCAATAAAAATGACAACCAAAACTGACTAGTGTCAACTTCATTCTGGGTGCTGCTATAGATATTTACAATGTTCTGGTTTCAGGATATACACTCAAGGATCAGAATTTACTTTGATTCAGCAGTGGAGGAGATGTAACTGGATGTGCTCCAGGTGCTGATAAATAAAATGTATTTTAAATTTGATTTTACTTCTACTTCTAATGTCAGTATTTACAGTGTTCTTCTTACTGGCACTCTGATGCACACAAATGAAATAAAAAGCAGTACACATGCTTACCATTGGAACCACAGGTCCAGATGACATGTATTGCACGAGGGCAGGGAAGAAGGGTTTGGAAGACAGTTCAGCATAGTGCTTCTTCAGGTGGTCCTCTGAAGCCTGTAAATGTGAGTCAAGCTGATGAGATGAATGGCTATTGATTGATTTGAATTTAATGTACAGAGAATGAAGCAATACAGGTCAAGGCATACTTGCAATTTAAATGTGAAAAAGTTATGCATTACTTCTATAATAATGAAAGGGGGCACCATTCCATATAAGGTCTAAATTCCCAGCTCAGCTGAGGAATACATATTATAGCAAAATGCAGTGCCTAGATCTAATACCAACACCGACACCAACTTTCACACTCATCACACTAGTTATGCTAATCCTGTAGAGGGGTGTCAAACTCAGGATGGGGGCTACACCAATAAAATCAAATTTCTTACATCATACATTTTTAATACCAAGAAGTTGATGTTCTGTAGTGCCTTTTTGAAACTAACTGTTGAAGAGGGCTTCACGGAGGTGATGAAATCGACTGGAGGAACTGGATTTGGCCCACAGGCCTCCAGTTTGACACTTCTGCCCTAAAGTATGTTAAATTCACGGAATGAGTGACTGATACCATTGCTTTTTTTCCTGGCAACATAAACTGGTGAGACACCGAAGTATACATCTGATGGAGTTGGTGACTTGCCTGCACTCCACAATGGTATCATCCAGTGAGGCTCTTCATATGAGCTTTTTGGGGTTAGTTGCTCCATCATCTGAGGTCACCAAGTTTAGGGGTGTGAGGGGTGGAGCACTAAAAACTCACCAACCATCACAATCAATGAATTTAGCAGCATGTAAAGAAAGTGCAGTTGTCCAATGTTAGGTTTGTATAGAATTTAGTATAGTTGTTTGTTCTTGGTCATGCACTTCATTAAAGGAGAGAGAGTCAATATACCACATCTGCTACACCTAATGGGTGAATGCAGAAATCAAATTGGCCCAAACCAAACTTCAACTGACATGCATCATTTTCATGGCGACCAGCTTGAAGCCCTTCTGCTCGAACCTCTTGATGATCTCCCCAATGATACCACGATGAACCCCATCGGGCTTCACGCAAATGAATGTCCTTTCCTTAGTATTGGCCATTTTTTGGAGATCTGAAAGAAAAGGGAACAGGCCTATGCTAGTCAACAGGGCAGGGGCCTACTAGGCCTGGTTGCACACTCCTGCTTCACAACCTAAACTTAGGACAAGAACCAAGGAACACCTAAGAAGTCCGCCAATGATGCCAGCACGAAACGTGGAGAGAATAACTGGAAATGTTCACAGAGCCCATTCCAAACAGAGGATTCTTACGGAACAGTAAGAGCTTAACTCACATGAGAAAAGAAGCAGATGCTTAACGTAGCTTACGCCCTACTATTCGGAAACACCGTGGACAGAGTTCGATCTCGAACTGCCGAACACTCAGGTGGAGGTGAGAGAGGACGAAGTGACGTCACGCGAAGGTTGCACGAGTGCGCGGCTCAATCTCTTGCAGGGTGGGGAGATAGTCGTTGCTTGCGTGATCAAGGTGAGTTTTCACATTGCGGAAAAATCAATCATTTTTACTTTTTTTTATCCTCCAAGGATATGCCGGTAATAAAGCTTGTGTGTAGAAAGAGGAATTGCAGGCAAGATAGGTTGCCTGAGCGAATCGTCATGGACGCTCTCTCTGCTCAGTGCTTTTTGCACATGGTGCTTTAATTTCAGATTAACTGACATATATCCAAATACATTTCATTCCAAATACATTACAAATACATGTATCCAAATACATCCGGACTGAATTCGTTATCCCTCTGAGTCCTCCCATCGGTTGCGGGCCACAACGTCTTCCAGATGGGTGGTTTCGTGGATCCTCAGGCAACTTTTTATTTTCCTTTCTCTGTTAACCAGCGAGTTTAGGAATTAAATCCAAGAACTGTGGTACTAAACCTTTATTTTTCTGAAAAACAATTCTACCTTTTTAAATGCACACTTGGAAAGTGTTTGAAGCTTTAAATTGGCATACGTGTTGCAAGGTATGAACACTTCAGGCTTTTAAGAACGTTATATAATGAAACCCACAACTGCGCATGACTACGTGACGAGTGTTTTCTCCTGTTCGGGATTTCTTCTTCAACATGTTCCTGTAGTTCATACAGTCATCGTGAAAGCCCTAATCTCACTTGATTAATGATGATTTCATGAAAGGAAAGATTACAGAAAATTAATTTTGTGTGGGTTATTTATAACCCTTTAAGTTGGTTCCACTGCCGGACATAGGAAATGTGAATTTGCATCATTATCACTCACCTCAATGGTGCAAGGGCATATATGCCCCAGAATCGTTTTCCAGTCCAAAAACGATTGAACTTTCTCTGCAGAAAAGTATCATACATACCCTTTTGTTCCTATTTGATGTATTTAGTAGGCTATAGTATTGTCACTTTCATGTTTTACTCTCAATCAGGGTGATTTTTCTG